AAGGCAAGGCACGGTCAAGCAGGAAACGCTAACATTTGTTGACATATAAAAAGAATGCCTGTGTAACTATTCCCGAACGACAGATGCATATGTTCCCTCATGGGCAGTGCTGGAGAAATTTGCTCCAGTCTTTAGTCTGCCAATGTCCTGTAAGCAGCAGCAGTTTAACAACAGTACTTGGGTACCTAGAGCAGCCCAGACAAGGAAAGAGCCTTTTCCCTCTTTCCTCCTGATCTTGATGAACGAGAGGCTACTCTGAAGGCTATCCTGAAAGGGAAATCCAGATTCGGGAATTATGCAGACCAAGGCAGCTCCCCCTTCACATTCAAAATATTGTTTCTACTACTAGGACTAAGTCCAAAATTGGGGTTTAAGGCTTTTTATAATATTAGATTTTGCCTGATTTGTTATGACAGACTTTCTTTATTAGACAGAAACTCCAATTGTTTATTCTGATTGACCATTCTTATTATATCGATTGCCTCCATTAATTACTGATTATGGATTTGATTTGGCTGTAAAGTGCTCTATGCTCTAGCCCCTGCTTTGAAGGGGTGGTGGACGTTTTGCTATGTTAAGTAACTTTGACTTTCCTTGGATTCTCTTTTAATGATATATTCTGTCAGATTTCTTATTGTATTTTGTAAGTTGCCCAGAGTTGTAACACACTGAGGCACCCTGTAAATCTCAGGAAGTGAATGAATGAAGGTCAACTTTATATGCATTACAAATCTAATGTTATTATGAGTTTATTCAATTTTATACGACTTGTAAATCTGTTTTCTATTTTCCTCTTCTCTTCTGTCCTTTCATTTCCCCTTTCAAATATTTGTTAAAATCAAACAAGAAAATAAAAATAAAAATGTTTATGTTCTGTTTTTTTGTTTTACTCAGGCGGTGTGTGTGTTAATGTGTCATCATAGACATCCTTTATTGGATTGCAGTAATTCAAAATTTGAATACCCATGTTATAATACTCACACCATTAAAGAATTCTATATATTAATTTAGTGGCAAATTTGAGATTATTCACAAATGACCAGAAACGTTTCAGAAATTATTTCTGAAATGAGTATTTAGTAAAGAATAACTTACTGTTGGTTTTGGCCACTGGAGAGGTGATTGAAATTGGAATAGACTCGTAAAATAATTATAATATCTTTCAGGTTCAAGGACTCTGGATGAAGCATCACTTCCTCAAGAAATTTATCCATCAGTTGGACTGGATGAATACTAAGATTTTCAAAGGCTGAAAGTAACAGAATTACCTGAAATAAAAAGAAGTTAAAATAATGTGCATATATCGAGACAATTTTATTACGGGAATTTTTTTTTTTTTAAAAAAAATAGTTGAAAAGGTTGTTGGGCCTGAGAATATACAACTGAAAAGAGAAGCAAATTTCTTTTTGCTTTCCTGCATCTCTATTCCACAATCCTTTGCTTCTCGGGGAAATTTCTCCCCTTGGTCCTTTGTGAAATAATATGAAATTAATCTGCTATAATAATAGCCTGGTTGCATTCTCTAAAGCCCAATTGTTAACTACTCAAAGCCTTTCCAAACTGTAATTTTTCATAATACAGAAGAAAGTTATGATATGCATTAGAGTAACCATTATTACTTATAAATTGTTAGTTTACTTTAAATTGAATTCAAATTAAAGCAAAACGGCTGGGAAAAATACTCCTGGAGAATGTGAAAAAATAGTGTCTACCATTTGCTGTTCAGAACATATAGTACCAAACCAATGTCCCTCCCCCTCCCCTCCCCCCACTTTTCTTTTTCAAATGACTTCCAGCTTCACAGGAAGCTCAATTGTAACATGGGAGAATAGTAGTAGTCAGATTAAACAGTCTAGATTCTCCTTTACTAAGCACTTAATAAATATTATTTTAACAAACCATGTATTTGGTGACTGATATATCTACTTCTATATGATTATATTTTTCTGATTTTATCACTAATGGAGGGGTGAAATTTTGTATGAACTTATTATTACACTGTCACTATATTTTATAATCATGAGTTGCATTGGAGACCTTTTTAGATTGGATGGCAAATTACCACTGTATCTCTAAACACATGGAAGAATTAAATCTGTCCCAAATCACTAGACCACAAAAACATCATATTGCACTGAACACATTGAAATCCAGTCATCCATTTAAAAAATCCTATTATACTTAAATTTTTATTTACCTCTTTCCTATCTATTTTCACTTTCCTGATAACTTTTTAGATGAAACAAAAACCTTTTATTCACATTATTCATAGTCCAGCATACATTTGTGAAATTATAGAATAAACAGATTAAGCATATTGTCCAATTGCAAAACCTCTCCCCATTCCTATTTGCAGTTACGGGAACTGTCCTAAATAATATCGTGAATCTAAAATAAAATTAAAAACAATATTAAGATTCCATGCTACCATTCATTTACTACTGAGAATGCCAGTAATATGACTAGTGACATCCTACATATTTACCTCATTTCTGTTCCATGTATAGAAGACTGATGTGGCATAATCAGCTAATGCAGAATAAAGTGTCCTGTTTTGGTATCTTAATTGTTTGCCAATTTTCAAAACATTCATTAGGTTCCAAAATTGAGTTCCTTCAATGTTTTCTAATGCATACAAAGAAAACTAACATTGGAAATTCACTTGGTTGATAACACTGGTAAACACATTTGTGCTTTTAGTTTGTAAAAAGAAATGACATGATAAATCCTGAAGCAGAAAATACAGCATAACTGACAAAACTAAAGAACTGTTCAAGGAACAAAATTTGGTCAAGTGGAGGTTCTTTCTTTTGAAGAATTTATTAACATGCCATCCAACTTTTTGACCCTTCTTATCTATGTCCACTAGTTATTGTTAAATAAAATCAAAAAGCCCTTTGTGCTGATTTAAAGTAGTCTAAGAATTATCTTTTTGAGCCAATTCTCTTAAATATTTATTACTTTCACTATAAATGCAGAAGTCTAGTTTTATAAACTATAGGCCATATGGAAATTTCCAGATATAAGTGGTTTTCAACCATAACTGAGCCCAAAATTACAGATGTAATTGTGCTGGTCATTAAGTGAACACCTTGGTTGTTAAGTAAACCCATTGTCTGCAATGGACCTTTTTTTGCCAGAAACCAGAAGTAGATCCCTGTTTCTGGCAAAAAATGTTACTAATTGCAGGTATTTGACCACAGGACGCTGCAAATATCTGCAGAAAAACAATCAAGCTCAGAGAACACAAAGAACTCAACAGTTCAACCATAATCCACATATACTCTCTATTTTCTTGTTTTGCTATTCGTAAGCAAATACTTATCTGTAAACTCTTATGGCAAATTAAAAGAAACTGGGTTCAAAAGCATTATAATTAAATAAACTGATTTGAACATTAGCAATCTCAGACATTTGTCATGACTTACCTATTATTATCTTACTACAAGCATTCAGGATTGGAACAGAGAGGTAGTCCATTTCACCCAATACCCTGAACATGTGAAAAGAGTTTGGAACAGTCAAGTGACCCATTAGATTCAACATCTTGTTCTAAATTGAAATAAATTTCAAATTAGCCAGAAGTATCACTGGCTTACAAGAGAAGGATTATAAGATTATTGTTTATTGTCACAGAGAGTTAACAAATATATTTCTCCTACTTTTACTTTGAAGATTTCAAGTTTGGAAAAAGTAGTCAACAACTTCATATTTTTTGGGGTTTAAAATTAGCCATTTACACCTGAATACTTATTTTTGATTTCTAACTTTCTATACAGTTATGGTGATTTCATAATTACTGTATGTTGTTTTAGCCTGTTTGTCTTTAAACCTACTTATGCTGTTATTTGATGTTTATTTGTATTATGTTTTTATATATGTTTATCCAGCTGGTGTTGCTGTGATGAAATGGGCAGGAACAGAACAGAATAGAATTCTTTATTGGCCAAGTGTGGTTGGACACACAAGGAATTTGTTTCCGGTGCATAAGCTCTCAGTGTACATACAAGTAATAGTGATAATCATAATCATATACAACATGAAAATACATTCATCACAAATCGTGAAATACAACACTTCATCATAAATCATAAGATGCAACACTTAGTGATAGTCATAGAGTACTAGCTAAGCAAACAACATAAATCATACTAGGGTCCAAAAAGCCACAATATAATTTGTTAGATACAAGCAGCAAAGTTATAGTCATAAGAAGATAAGGATAGGTAATAGCAAAGATGAGGAGTATCATAGTAATACAGCTTTACTAAGTATTTTGACGGTGTTGTAGGAATTAGTTCTTAAGCAGAGTGACGGCATGGGGGAAAAAACTGTCCTTGTGTCTAATTGTTCTGGTGTGCAATGCTCTATAGCATCGTCTTGAAGGAAGAAGTTGAAATACTTTATGTCCAGGAGTATGTATGTATGTATGTATGTATGTATGTATGTATGTATGTATGTATGTATGTATGTATGTATGTATGTATTAATTCAATTATTGTAGATAAATCAAATAAATGAAAATACATGTCTTCTATCAAAGTTCTTGTAAAAACAGAACACAGAAATAAAGAAATCACTTCTGTTGTACCACAACTGTAAGGATTTAATACTTAATATTTATTTATATAGAGTCCAATCTAGTTCAAACCCAGTCCGGGCAGCTTACATAAAAAAGCAAGAAATAAAATAGAAAAACAGATCATGATGACCATAAATATTAAGTAAAACAAGAAAACTGTAGGATTCAACAACCACCCTATTCTAAGACCAGAGAGAATAGCTAAGTGTTGAAAGACTTCTGGAAAATTATCCGTGTGGGAACCATTACAGATTTTTGGGGGGTGGGTGGGAATGCTGTTCTAGAGAACAGGTGCTATGACAAAGACAGATTTCTTGATAGAGCAATATCTGGAGACCTGGAACACCTCTTGCATACCTGATTTTTCTGGAAAGGCAGAAATAATTAAAGATAGGTAGTTAATCAGGCCCTTGACTATATTCCATGATCCTTACATTCGTAGCTCTTAAAATAAATGAATTTTTCCTCTGTGATGACAAAAGCAATGATACCTGCATGTATATTTATACAAACTTAATGCAATAATTGAAAACACAGATGAAAGAACAGATGAAAGATACCTCCAAATTTCTCTTAAGTGTCAGTGGTACATCCTTCCCGATACTGCGCATTATGATTTGCAACACAAACACGTTTGATATTTTGTGAACTTTTTCTTGTAAAAGTAACCTATTAAGAAAAAAAAACTCAGAAAAAGAATATGTAATGGACATAAACGAATGGAGCAGGTATCATTGTATGTGTGCACGTACACACACACACACACACACACAGACTGACATTATACATCTTCTAATTGAAACTAAATACATTTTAAGCATTAGGAAAATTAAATTAAAAGTACAGCTAATTTTGGAGACTTATTACACACAATTGTGGATTGGAAATTTCCATAGCGTCTCCTAAACCTGTCTGTCTGTCACACTTAGATAAGTTGCCAGTGTCATATATTTCATTCAATTACCTTTGTGTCATATGCCTGGTTTAGACAAGTATGATTTCATTTTTCATTCCATGAAAGTTCTATAGAGTTAATATGCCTGCTAGAGTTTTGGGGAAAGTATTTATGTTTTGGATTTTTAAAATATTGTAACTAAACATTATGAAATAAATACCAACTGTGGTATTAGTTTTCAGTCTGATAGTATTTTGTCCCACATAAATCTGATATTTAATTGCGAAAATATGCACAAGTTTAAAAAATCTAAACAGCAGTAAGTACTTTTTCACAAAATTGTATATACTGTCTGTATATTTTAAATTTCTAATCTTTTTTTTATTGAGCCTCTGAAATTATTTGGGCCAAGGAAAATCCAAGAACTGTTTCAAATCTAACTTAAATCACTGGAATACTTTTGCCACCTTCTCCTGTTTCCTTAATTCTTCCCAAGTCGGAAGCTATGCTAAAGTATTTTGAAATCTGAAACTTTTCCATTAAGCAATACTTGAGCAAAAAAGGAGGGCATGGGAGAAAAAAATAACTATTTATATTCTAATCTTCCTTTCAGAGGACCCCGTAGCACTTTATAGTAAAATCAAGAATGTTTTAAAAAAATTCAAAATTAAAACAAGGTTCATTCTTTTAAACAACAGAAATAAAACAGTAAGTATTTTAAAGATCTGGATGAACAACAATCTCTAATTATTTTATGAAGACATCAGGACAACCAGTTGTCACTGAGAAGGATTTACTGCTTGCCAATGAACTATAAACAAAATCCAGTGTTGGATCCACAAGGAAGCCCTTGAAGCTGATCCGAAAGCATGAGCTGGATGGTATTATGCAGATAGGATAGTGTATTTTGACCTACACTTGGTTAAACTCATGGAAAGATTTACATCACCTATATTCTAATCATATATTAGTTAGCTGCATCACCTATAGCTGCTTGGTAAATCAATACGATTTCCAGGATCTTCACAACTGATACTGGCATTCCAGATACTATCAATAGCCCTCTCATTTTAACCCTCTAGTCTAAAACTACCAACACTACCAACCACTATAGAAAAAAAGCCCTCTACAAGCATTTAGAAATTCCTTGGATTCTATTAGCTGCCAAGGACAGATCATGTAAATTGATCCTTCATCCTAACAAGAGAATTGAGACACTATCAACTATGAATTTACTACTAATCTATCTTAGACTCAAAACCAGATCTTTAATATGTCCTGAAATATGTGCTGGGTCTTTAATAATTATTCTGAGACATCCTTAAATTGCTTTGATCTCTTACATATTTCATTCCTGGACAAGGTGATTTTCTGAGAAGATCCTTCCTCCCTTGTTAAGGTCCAGAAGGAAATAAATACATTATCAAATTCCCCATTACACAAATCTTCATTGTAGCAGTCACCCATATCTGGAATAGTGTACTTTCAGATATAAGGTCGAGTATCTTTGTTCCGATTCCAAAAATTGTTTAAAAAAAATGTAATTTGAGGACTACCTGCAGTTACGTGGGTTATAACCATGGCACAGGTAACAGTTGCTAAGTCCAGCTGACTCAGGAAGAGTTACATTTGAGATACTGGCTGTAATTGTTGCAAATGCGCTTCTCACTACAGCTGGCACTTCTAAACTCTTGTGACAACTGGAGATCGAGGAGCACTCTTAAACAGCACCTTGCTGGGGAGTGCAATCAGATGCAGCACAAGCCTTAACTCAGTTCCAATGTCCATCTTTTTCCTTGTTCCAATGTATTCAGCCAGTGATGCACTCCATTAAAAATGTCATCTTGTGGGACCAAGGAAGCTGCCTTCTCTGTCACAGGATTTTCAGCTCCTGAGTGGAGAGGCAGGGTGGTATCCTTTCTTCACGTTCCACGAAATTCCCTCCAACCCCTCCGGGTCACGCTTACAGAGAGGTGGATCCTCGACTTTTGGAACGAACCTAAAACGGTCTCTCTGAAAGTCGAGGATGTATCTCGGAGGGTCTCGGGAGGCGAGTTCCGTAGGGCGTGAATGGACCCTAAGACAGGTGAATTACTCGGGACACTAGTGAATTAAACCACAACCGGGAGTGCCAGGATTACAGTTGTTGAGCAAAATGATCATATGGACATCTTGTTTAACAACAGCTTTGCTCAACAATTGAGATTCCAGTCTCAATTGTGGTCATAAATTAAGAACTACTTATACTGCAATCCGGTGTACATGAGGATACATGTACCCCAGGCATGTCCAAAGTCCGGCCCGCGGGCCATTTGCAGCCCGCGTTCCAGTTTAATCCGGCCCTCTAACAGCCCTCCCTGCTCTATGTAAATGCGGCCCTCCCACGGCCCTCCCTATCAGAAACTTTATTGTGTCTGCCGCGCTCACTCCTCCTCCCTGCCTGGCGGGGTCTCCCTCGACCAACAGGCAGCGGCTGTTCTCGATCCTCCCGACAGAGCTGGCCCCATCCAAGGCGCACGTGGCCGTGGAGCCGCGTGGGGAAGCCCTGGGATCCCCGTTGAGAGCAGCTCGCCGGAGGCTCTGCTGAGCGGGCCAGCCCTCCTGCAAGCTACGGCCCCTGCGATCCTGGCTGCCAGGAAGGAAGAGGGAGATGCAGCAATGGTAGGAGAGGAGAGCCTCCTCCTGGGGCCCGGTCTCCGCAGTGCTGGGGGGCTTTTAAGAGGGAGGGGCGGTAGGGGCATCACTCCCGGGCTGCTCCCTGGCAGCCGAGCCGGCCACGTGTCTCCCCGGGCCAGTCCGTGGTGCCCCGGGCGCCTTCTGCTGCCTCCTGCCCCCCCACACGCTTGGCCTTCCAGGGACCTCAGCCCATTTTCCCACGCCCGTGCCTCCTTTCCCGCCGCCCAGCTCGCCCTCCTGCAGGATTTGGCGCTGGAAAGGCCGGCCGGCAGCCGGGGAGGCTGAGCGGCCCCGGTGAGGGAGCCGCTCCCACCCCGTGGGAGGAAAGAGAGAAAGAAAGAAAGAAAGAAAGAAAGAAAGAAAGAAAGAAAGAAAGAAAGAAAGAAAGAAAGAAAGAAAGAGAGAGAGAGAGAGAGGAAAGAGAGGAGAGAGGGAGAGGAAAGAGAGAAACAGGGAGGGGAAAGACAGAGAGAAAGAGGAAAGAGAGAGGGAGAGGAAAGAAAGAAAGAGGAAAGAGAAAAAGAGAGGAAAGAGAGAGAGGAAGAGGAAAGAGAAAGAGGAAAGAAAGACAGAAAGAGGAAGAGGAAGAGGAAGAGGAAAGACAGAAAGAGGAAGAGGAAAGAGAGAGGGGGGAAAGAGAGAGGAAAGAAAGAGAGAAAGAGGAAAGAGAAAGAGAGAGGAAAGAGAAAGGGGGAGAGGAAAGAGAAAGAGAGAGGGGGGAGAGGAAAAGAAAAGGAAAGAGAGAGAGAGAGAGAAAGAGGAAAGAGAGAGGGAGAGGAAAGACAAAGCGAGGGACACGAAAGAGAAAGAGAGAGGAAAGAAAGAGAGAGGAAAGAGAAAGAGAGAGAGGAAAGAGAAAGAGGAAAGAAAGAGAGGGAGAGGAAAGAGAGAGAGGAAAGAAAGAAAGACAGAGAGGAAAGAGAAAGAGGAAAGAGAGAGAGGAAAGAAAGAGAGAAAGGAAAGAGAAAGAGAGGAAAGAGAAAGAGGGGGAGAGGAAAGAGAAAGAGAGAGAGGGAAAGAAGGAAGGAAAGAGGAAGGAAGGAAAGAGGGAGGGAGGGAGGAAGGAAGGAAGGAAAGAGGGAAGGAAAAATAAGGAAGGAAATGGAGGGAGNGAAAGAGAGAGAGGGGAGAGGAAAGGGAAAGGAAAGAGAGAGAGAGAAAAAGGAAAGAGAGGGAGAGGAAAGAGGCATAAAATAATTCATTTGCATTTAATTGTAATGGTTCAAAGAATGTTCGGAAAAATGTTCGGCCCTCCAGCACGTTCACTTCATCCAATCTGGCCCTCTTTGAAAAAAGTTTGGACACCCCTGATGTACCCTCAAAAAATGGCAGAATTTGCAACTGATGCAAAATGCCAGGATGCTACCTGTTGCATAGATCATATAATCCATAAGATCCATATTGAAAGAACTGCACTGGCTAACGGTTGGTTTTCTGACCTAATTCAAGTTGTTTGGCATTGATCTTCAAGTCCTTAACACTTTAGTTAGTGCCAGACTATACTGAGAACTACATGTCCGACTATGAACATGCCTTCTTTGATCAGTAGAAAAAAACCTCTTCAGATCAGATTTTAATAGAATTTTATTATCTAGTAGGTCAGGAAGGCCTTCTTTTGCATGGGCCCCAGGCTGTGGAATGGGCACCCTAAGGAGATGTATTTGACCTCCACTCAGCCAATACTTAGGAAGATTAAAAAATACAGCTTTTCCACCAAAGCTTTAATTATTCATTCATTTTTATGATAATTTCAATTCTGATTTTAGTGGTATGCACTAGATGATAGACAAGACAGATATAGATATGCTCTCTAATACTATAAGATGCCTTTATTATTGAAAATAAAAATAAAAATGGGATAAACAAATATCCAGAAACAAATAACAGTGGACAGCCTGGATATGGACACTAAAGTTTCTCAGGAATTACACCAGAGGTTAATATAATATAAACTGAAAAGTATCCTGTTAAATTCTTCATTTATATCTTTGTCGGAATCATGGTATGTTGAATTTGGTCTAAGAAAGTAAAAATTGATCTTATGTATATTTGTCAGTAATTGCCCATTAGCTTAATGTGGCTTGCTGCTAAATAAATGCATACATGTTCTATATATTCCATTTTATATTCGGAAATTTTACACAAAGTTTCAATTCATATTTAACCTGTTTAATTTAATTTTCAAATATCCTATTGGCTATTTAATCAATTTAAATTCACAGTTCTAAACTCTTGTTCCTTTTAGTTATGGACACATTTGGATGCATCACTAAATTCAATCTCATATACTACCTCTGCCGCCAATTCCCTTTCCTTTTGCTCATCACAAGGTGAAAAACATTCCTAGTTCCAATAAAAATCTGAATGTTAAACTATGATTAGTCTTAATTAAAGTTTACTAAAACCTATAATTTGAACTGGAATTAAGACTAAACTCAAGATATTTGGGTTCAGATATAAACTGGAATAAGCTACAACTATTTAACTAGGAAGAAACTTCTCCCACCCGCGTACCCCAAAACTGATGAGTACCAATGTACAAACTTAATTAAAGTCTTTTCTTACTGTAGTCCAAGTTGAAGAGCTTCCACGTTCTTGCATTTTTCCATGCCTTTCAAAGTGTTTGCAATAACTGAGACACTTCGATCATTAAATTCATTGATACGTTCCTATTGAAAAGATTCAAAAGTCATTTTAGAAGATTTTCATGGAAAGATAAAATCATAGGCCAGAAGAAAAATTAACACATTAAAAGCCTACTCCTATTTATTTGTTTGTTTAATTAATTAATTAAATTCATTTGCTTGCTATCTTGCCATGGGGCTATTCTAGGCAGCTTAAAATAATAAAGAGAAAGAAAATTGGAAAAAAAAGACAGAACATGAGAATATATCAATATGATAACAAAAAGATGGACGGGCGGAGAGCAGAGAGCAAGAGGGGAGGTGGCTTCTGCCATCAACCCAGCAGCTACCTCCAGCGTGGAACTCCTCAATTCAGTGCCCAGGCCAACTGGCAGCGCCAAGTCTTCTGAAGAGTGATAGGAGGGCAGGAGCAGATCTTAAGAGGGTAAAACGTTCCAAAGGGCAAGCACTGCAGCAGAGAAGGCTCTGCTTCTGGATCCTGGCAGTCGGAGTTCTTTGACCAAGGGGATCTGAAGTAGGGCCCTCTCTACTAGCACAAATAAGGTGGGCTTGTCCTAGAGGGATGAGGTTATGGGGAAAGAGCCACAATGCACAGTACCACCTTTATAAGTGCTTTATTCATTGTACAATGAGCCTTCTCATTCTCTTAGTTTCTCTGTTAAAAAAGAACAAGTGTTCCACAGCACAGCCCTGCTCAATATAGGGTTCCGTGCAGTATGGTGGTAGCGCAAAGGAGTTTTCATTTCTTTTCTAGCTATAAACCAGAAAGCTGGGAGCGGAATCAGCATTTGGCTGCTCTGCCGAAATGCCATACAGGGAAAGGGATAATGTCCATGGAGCTAATAAAAGTGGCAATTCCAACTGTGCTACTCACTGCTGCTAACCATTCCCACCCGGCTACGCTACTGAAGACAGTGAGGAGAGGGATATTTCTGGAACTCTGTTCCCTTTTTCTCTGATTCTTTCAGCCTAAATGAAACCATTGCTCACTACAAATAACATGGATGACTTAAAGCAGGGGTGTCAAATTCGCCGCGTCACGTGACGTGTCATGACATATCGCAACTTTTTCTCCCCTTACCGGAACTGGGGTGGGCGCAGCTTCTGTGTGATGCATCTGGCCTGCGGGCCGGCAGTTTGACACCCCTGACTTAAAGCAATAAAGTATTGAGAACTTAAGAGGGACGTTTGGATTCATGGTCACACTGTAGATCAATTTAAATGACTTTGAATAGTTCATTTGAGTCTTATTAATGTCAATGAGATTATTTTTAAAAATGAGATTGCCCAATAGCTTTTTCTTTTCCCTTTGTCTCAAAAATTAGAACATATAAATGTTCTAATTTTTCAGATACAGAAGAAATATACAGCCAGTCCAGGAAATTTAACCCCAGTGCTTAATATATTGTAATAGGGTAAGCCAACTTTTGTTAAGGTCCCCATTCCCTCAGTGATAGGGAATGGGGTTTTGGGTTGCATTGTAGGCAGGCTGAAACAAGTAGTAAGTAAGGCCAGAGATAAACAAGTAAGGAATAGGACAGAAAGTTCTTTCCATATCTAACATATCTCTTGCATACAGCTCATTTTGAAACTGGGCTAAAGGAAGCATGTTTCCTCAATTATCTTCAATTAACAATTTTGCTCACTCATGTTATACAGGGTAATTCAGACATGCTAAATTATCACCCATGCTTACATGTGCTAGCTAACCAAATCAGCTGCTCTTCTACTGTAAAAATGTCTCTTAGGCACCTGCAATGAATGACTGCTTGAGTCCAAGTAAAAGGGTTCTGCGATTTTTGTTGTTTATCAGCTGCCATAAAGACGTCAAAACAAAAGGAAGCTCCCTTCAGCCTTTCGTATCTTCTTATTCACCCACCTACAGAGTACCTAGGGCTGCCCTAAAATTCAACATTTTTCTGGAACTTTATTCTTTAAAAATACCCTTTCTAGTCTAGATTCCTGGTCTGATAGTTTCTGAAAAATTCCTGGGTACAAACTAGCTCCAATTCTGATTGACTAAGTGAGGCATCTGGTCAGTGATGCATATCAATTTGGAAATAAGTCCTAAATTCAGTTCCATTTTCAGATGGAGTACAGACTAATAGGAATAGAATAGAACAGAACAGAATAGGACCTTGGAGGTCTTCTAGTCTAGCCCCCTGCTCAAGCAGGAGAACCTATACCATCTCAGACAAGTGACTATCTAGCCTCTTCTTAAAAATCTCCAGTGATGGAGAGCCCATGATCGTAGATTAATAGTAGCTTTTTCAATGCGTAGATGATAAAACTGAAATGTCTTAGGTTATTTTTTTAAGACAAAAGAATATATAAATTGAGACATACTAAATAATAAATTTAACTGTTTAAGCCTGTTCCTTATTTTAAAACATCCTTAAATTTTGTCTAGATTGTTTTTTGTTGTTGTTGTTTGTTTTGCTTACCTGGCAAGTCCTCAGTAATGTCTGAACTAACAAGGTATTTTGTGGAACTCCTAATTTTACCACAGAAAGTAGAGTGTGTGCCAAATCATTGCTATCCATGTACTTAGCTTCATCCATCACACACTGGCAGAGCTGTCGAAACTGAGGGTGTTCAAGCATCATCTTTGTCTCATCATAGTTCTGACTCTTGACTGTATTTTTTTTAAGTGTCCACATAGTTGAAAAACAGTTACTGACATACTTTAAAGAGATTAGACTTCTTGCAGTAAGGTTTAGTACATCACAAGGAGATACACATTTTTGAAGGTCATTGAAAAATTCCTTGGAAATGTCAAATTCATCCCTTTTTTCAATGGTATTTCTAGCTTCCTCTGAGAAGTTCACTTGAACAGGTTTAAACTTCTCTTTATGGCCAAGATCATTAGTTATTTCCTGTTTATTTGCATCACTGTTCCCAGCATAAAGAAAAGTATTTTGAGAACTAATTGAAATAGAAGAATGAAGCCAGCAAGAAGGAACATACAATGGACATTGAATACTTTGTGCAGAACTTTTATAACCATTAATCCCAAATGAAGTTGTTTTGATTTCATTTCTAGGAAAAGATCTCCCTGCATTGTGACATGCCTGTAGCCTTCTTATTGACCTTATAAAATACTCCACTTTCCTGTTCATCTTGTTGTCTCTTTACAATATCTTACTTAGAAAAACGTATTTGAACCTAAAAAAGAAAATCAGAACAGAGCTGTGAACATAACTTGTTAAATGAATTCATTAATCAGTACAGTACATAAGATCAACTGCAATCAGTTTAAGATGTTTTGGATTTTTTTGCCGCAGTTAGTACAGTCATCTGTTTTTCAAATGAAGTGATAGCCTAACTAAATCTATTTATATAAATAAAAATGTAAATGTTCGTTTGTTCAAAATCTTAAATCTCCGAAAGTTCTTCACCGATTGCTTTGAAATTTTGACACAACGTTGCATTCAAATACGCGCGTGTTTTTATATACCTTATACCTACTATTATATAGATGTCACACCTGTGACAGGTAAAACATGTTTTTTTTTGAAAAACAGAGCCATCTGTTGGACGTAAAAGCAACACATGCTAGCATTGTGAAATTAAACATATTACAAACGTGCGCTTTCTCTTTTCTTTCTTTTCCATTTAACCAGACTGAGCCATAGCAACGCGTGGCTGGGTACAGCTAGTCTAAAATAAAAATGAGAGGACTGAGTACTGCAAGACTGAACCAATTTGGGCCAAAATTTCCCAAATGAGACAAAACTGTGAACACTTAAATTTAGTACAGTATTTAGGTTGGCTTTGCACTTTAAGTAAATGTGACTGCAATTTCTGAAAGCTATCCAAAATATTAAATTTAGTTTGGCCTCTAAGTGTTCAGTTTTGTCTCAGTTGCAAAACTTCTTGAATAAACTGCCGTAGACAAAGAAAATGAAGAGATTTTCTTGCTCGATTAAATGTTTTTTTTTAAATCTCATGTTAATTTTAAAATAAAAGATTACTAGTTTAAGAATGTTTTTTTTTTAAAAAAAAAACGTTTTAATTCACTTCTACAAGTTTGTACATTTGCCCACGCAAGAATTACAATAGCAAGTAAACGTGTTCGGTTCTCAGAAAACTGGAAGCTTCCCAAGGTATTAAACAATAATCGAGGAAGAAAGGCAAAACAAAATTGTCTACTGTTCAATACTAAGCTTCGGAGTTCACAGCCAGAAGATAAGGCTATGAAAATCTAGGAATATAAACTAGGGCACGGGTAGTCAACCTTGGCTCTTTTATGACTCGTGGACTTCAACTCCCAGAATTCCTGAGCCAGCTAAGCTGGCTCAGGAATTCTGGGAATTGAAGTCCACGAGTCATAAAAGAGCCAAGGTTGACTACCCCTGAACTAGGGGATAAGGGACCAATAGAAGCAACTCTCTCCTTACTGAATTCTCAGCCGTCTGTGGTCGACCGCTATTAGAAAAGAAATATACTGAAACTATTATCAAATCCACGCAACTTTTCCAGTGCTGAGAATTGCACCAAGGACAGTGACCTGCACGCGAAAAAAGGCTAAGGCGCCTTTGCCACGCCGCCGCCCTCCTGGTTCTCAAACCCCTTGTTCCTCCGCGCTCTTGGTTTCCTGCTTGTTCCTTGGTTGGTTGAGAGAGCCGCGTCTTCTCCAACCTGCCAGACTTTCCCAGCGCTCCGTTCCACTTACTTGCCTCTCTGCGCCAGACGCTCAAACCAAGGGTGACGCAAATTCACATGCGACGCGAAGGGAGGATCCCTTCCTCGAGATACGGTTGCCTGAAGTAGACAAAATAAGTCAGTCGCCTAGGCCTCACGATTTCGCTTCCCGTCGGACTGTGCGCGCCTACGTAGTTGCTAGGCAACCCTCCGCAGCGCCTCAGATTAGAGGGTTTCTGGCCGCGGCTCTTGGTCAATGGCGAAGTTCGTGCTGGCAGGTGAAGGGGAAACCCCTCCAGGGCGACTCTTACACACCTCCGTTGGTTGGGGATGATTGAATACTTTTGGACTAAACTGGCGTCGCCTTTCCTCCCTTGAATTCCTGATGGTTTCATGCTTCTTTGTAGACCGCCCAGACTGATGGAGGCGGCGTGCGGATACTATAAGTATCTGCAACACAGATAGTGCAAGGCGAGAATAATCGAGTAGTTTTTATTTACGATAAAATATTTTTTTTCCCCCTTCCATTCAGTCATGTTCGACTCTCAGAGATTGCCTAAAGTCCCTGCAGCTTTCTTGGCAAGTTTTCAGGAGTGGTTTGTCATTGCTTCCTTTCTAGGGCTGAGAGAGAGTGACTGGCCCAAAGTCACCCAATTGGGTTTCTGCCTAAGGTGGGACTAGAACTCGCTGTCTCCTGATTTCTAGATTGATGCCTTAATCACTATATCAAACTGGATCTTTTTTAATTATTATTTTTCATTGTATTTGTAAGTCTCCAAGAGACTTGTCAAATTCAAGGGTAAAACCCAAATCCATAAATAGATAGTGCAAAGCAACATTAATTGAGTGGGGTCCTACCTAAGACAAAGTAATTTACTAAGACAAAGTAATTTTTTAAATAAATATTTTATTAGTTTTCTATTTTTACAATCAAGTATTTAATAGACAATGTGTTGTCTGGCTCCATTAATAATTCAGTGGTATATATTAACTTCTTCAATCTAGATCCCATGTAGCACCATCAAATGTTTCCCACACTAGGCAAATACAATTCTTATTGTTATTAGTAAATATACAATTGAATATTAACAACTTTGTTACATTTTTCTCATAATATCAATAATATCAGTTTTAAATTGCTTTTCTAACCAAAACATATCTTAATTGCATTTGCACTTAATATCCATATGTTCAATCAGTATCCTGTTTTTGCTTCTTTTTAATTTTAATTTCCCATCAGTGTTCAAAATGTCTCTATTGTTTATAATTTCAAAGTAAGTTATATTTGGGTAACCAAAAGCTTCTCTTATTCAAACTTCTTAGCGTTTTCCTGTTTCCCTTCTTATACCAAAATCTACTATTTTAATTACAAATCTTATCTTTCTAGTTATAATAATACTTCTATTTCTAGTAATTAAGTATTCTCCACCATATTCAAACATCTAGTTAATAATATAATATCCCATCTAATAGATCAAAACCTCTATTTTCTTCAGTCTTACTCTAGCTTTTTTCCTTTGCCAATCCAAAATATTCCATCATCTCAAGAAATGAAGTGTATTTCTCCTGCAGGGAAATAATTCCACAACACACCTCTGAAAGTCAGATAATATTTATATTCGTAGTTCAGGCAAGCCAGTTTCAAAATAGTTCATTGTCTCTGCCACATTGATAAGCAGCCCAAAAGTTCTTATATTTTTGCCTTTTCCCAGCTGCAATCTTCAAAAGTGAAAGCTTCCAAAGTCAGCAAGAGTCTTATCTAAATCTGGGCTTTAAGCCAAGTTTCCTTTAGACATAACAAATTGTAGTGCCATAATTCATCATTAGATGTCATTAGTGCCGTTTTCCAGCTTTTTAAATCTCAACTTATAATGTAAGGTTTTCAAATCTCTTTTATTAAAAAAAGTCTCAAAAGCACTTTTAGTCCCTAAATTTAAAGCTATGAATGTATATTAATTCCAAATTAATCTTGTAATTTTCTCTGTTTCTCTCAAGTAATTAATTCGCCGCTTTTCTTTTCCTGAGAGAATGGGGTAGAAATTCCCCTTCCCTCCTCATCGGGGAGGGTGCTTTGGGCAGTTTTTTCCAGGAAGAGGTCTTAAAGTCTTAAAGAGAGGATAGAGTCTCACCCAGTTTCATCCACATTGCTGTAAAGTTGCTTCTTAGTGCTTATTGTCTTCCATTGTCAGCAGCTTCTGTCTAGCTACACGAATGTAGCCAGTCTTTTCCCCGCCAGTTTGGAGGGCTTCCTTGGATCAAACGGAAGGGCCACCGCTCTCCCGCAATCAAACGAGAGTTCCCTCCTTGCTTGTCGCCTCTACGGGGTGACTTTCGATCCTTTCCAGGGTCCCCAGTGGGGCAAAATCGAATGCAAAAGACGGAGCCCTGTCTTCCTGTGTCCGTTCAAAACTGGAAGTCCAAGACAAAGTAATTAAAAAATAAATAAATTAGGGGTTCAGGCTTAAAATCTAATTTGGGTTGTAGCATTCAGGGTCGTATGAACCAGCCATTGAAATGATTTAATGTATGAATTCAGCCTGTTGTGGATTATTCAGTAAATCTTGATTAAACAAATCATGGCTTAACAGTATGGACCCAGCCATACCTTCTGTATAAGAAACATTGTACAATATTAGGCCTGCTATATCTGGGCAGCACAATCCATTCAACTGCTACATAGCAGCAAAGAGAGACATAAACATTTAAATCTTTATTTCCAGTCTTCTGAATTTTTTGCTGTAGGAGCAATTTATAAACTAACTTTAGCCTATTTTCTGGTTTGTTTTCAATGTCTTCTAATCAACCAAGGGCTGCAAAATCAAACTAAAACTAATTCCATGAATTGTCTAAGCAATCCAAGTACTATTTTATAAATTATTTCAATAAAATCTACCAAAGCTGTGTCAAATATTGTTTCTGTGAAATAATGTATTGTTGTAGTTTGATCATCATTACACTCTGATGCTCTTTAATTTTTAATATCAAATTACTTCAGCATTACCAGGGCTCTGCATTGGTCAAGGTTTGGGATTAGGATGTGGATGACCCAAGTTCTAATCCATCCTCAGCCATAGAAGTTTCTCATGACTTTGGATCAGGTCATTCTCTTTCAGCCCAACCTCTCCCACTGGATGGTTACTGTGGGGAAAATAGGAAGCAGCAGCACTATCTTGGGCTCTTGAGTGAAAGCTGGGATATACAGTAAATCCAGTAAAGAAATCACATGTTTGTAAATGTACAATTCTTATTAACTACTTAATTTCCAGGTAGAGCAGATTGTCCCTACTATGCTAAGGCAGAACTCCTTGCTGACTATCTGGGGAACAATTTGCCTAACTTCAGGATACACAAGATTGTTCAACATCCCGACAACTGGGAGGTAAAATTATTTCAGTCTGGTTCACTAGTGAGAAGCTTCTCTACTTTTGGAATCCATTAACCTTCAGAAGTATCTTTACAGGTAGCAGAAGAGAGAGATGGGATAAATGTACAGTGCATAAAATAGTTACATGGAAACAGTGATGAAGAAAGCTAATGAACTCTGCTAGCCTTTGAGTTTGGTTATTTGTAACATATATCAAATGTATGATGGTTTTGGGCATAAAGTTTAGGAAATCTACAATAGCTTTTTATGACTTTAATATTTATTGATGGATAAAAGTGGCATTGATGATACACAAAAGCTTCATTTGTTTTGCTTGGACCAAATGATGAAAAAGTCTCCTCCCACTTCATAATTATGTAAATAAAAAATGGTGAGTGTGTTTCATCTGCAGACTGAGCTGACTTTGGGCATTCAAATATAGGTACCAAATGTTACGAGGTGGGCAAGTTGCTTTGCTAGTATGTGAGCTCTCTTCCATCCGAATGGAAGCATCCACTTTCATAGATTCTATTCAGAAATATACTTTTCATATTAGCCTCTTGTTCTGTATGAAGGGAGAATGTTTGGATAATTGTAGGAAATGTAAGGATGGTTATTTCAACATGGCAGTGAAAGCCATTTATGGATTTATACATATTAGCATTGCATGATATGCTTAATTTGAGGGCATTTATCCTTAGAAGTGGCTTCAGGAGATCTGTAATGAGAATGGCTGGAAACACAAACGCTCCCCAATTATTTGGAGAGAACTGTTGGACCGTGGTGGAAGGGGCCTTCTTCTAGGGGGATTCAATGATTTTCTAGAACATGCTCAGGTAAAAATTTGCATATTGACTTGTTGCATATTGATTTTTCTGCTAGCTTCTTGTCTTTTTCTCATCAATCTGTTTTTATTTGTTTTCAGACTGACCAAATTTCAGTATACAGTATATTTAACCATGATTCAACACAATGCTTCAGTCAGCTTAATTAAAATTGTTAGGGAATTAGTGAATGGGAATTTAAATATATCAGTAAAATATCTGAATCTTATTGAAGGCATTTGAAACAGATAATATAAAGGAATAAAACAGTTTGTTAAAGTAAATAGAAAAGGAATTTCCATTTGATTCTGATTACTTAGTCAAAACCATTAGTCGTTATATAAACATTGTTCATGACACGTATTAACATCTTGAAATAAGTGATCCATTTTATTAAAATTTCTTAGAACGGTTAGTGGTTTTATTAACCAGTACCCTGGGATATATGACAACTAGATCTGATTACTCACTATACATCATCTAATCGTTCTCAAAAACAAAGGGTATAACTTAAAAATAGCAATAACAATGTAAAAACGTTGAAATGAAGAAAAATGAGTACAGTAATGAGTGGATTTTGAGGAAGTAAACTGCCAATATGGTGGTAGCAGCTGACCTTGACCAATCTTGAAAAGCTGAGCAGAATTAGGACTTGAAAGGAAAACCATCAGAAAATCCCAGAGCTGTAGATTAAACTGGGAAGAAAACAAAACACTTTTGCACTTCCCCCCGGTAAAACTCTATGCATGTCCATGGAGTCACTAGATTTTTTGTGGGAACTCTGAAGTGAGTTCATATCTGGATTTAAAACAAATCCATAGATCAAGAAATGCCCAGAGACACCAAGAGACACCATATTGTTAAACTCCAAGAATATGTCTTTGCTCTTGACTTTGTAGTAGAAATAAGGGTCTGGCGAAAATAAAATCTGGAAAAATTGAAATCTGCTTCCCATGTTATGTTATTTACGTAAATCCTGTTCATCTTGGATACCTAATGTCATAAATTTAGATTGCTCTCCCTATTCTGTTATTATTTCTATATTTTTGTAATCAAATGTGTTTTGGTCTTCAGAATTTGAGATATTTGTTGATCAGCCTTTTTAATCTTCAGCAATACTATAACATCACATCAGATATGATGACTAAAGAGATGTTACTAATAGCTAATGAGAACTTGCAGACTTGCACAGAAATTGAAGCAGAAGAGAAAGAACTAAAAAGTCTTATCAACCCCTTGCACATTTGGCTTAATAGGTGAGAAGATGAAAAAGAAACAACAGAGTCTGAAAAACTTTAATTCATTTTTTTCTTATTAATACAGTGTTTACAGAGTCATATTTGCTGAACTGGAAATACATATACTAGTGAGTGCATTCTTTTGTTGTGATTGCAAGATTGCCAGATTGGCATTCAAGAATTTGGATAATTCCTCTTTAGTGTCCAACTGCAGAGTGGCTCTGTCCGTTAGCTATGGGAAAGTAGGAGAATGATCCCTGCCATCTATCTGACCGTGCTGCTTAGTTGTCTCAAAATAGGAATCTGTATATTTTTGCTGATTCCAGAATGTGTTATTGCCATTGAATTGGTTTCCCTTGTTCTATCATTTTTTTGTGATTAAATAAAATGGGGAAGTTCACAGATATTTATCATTATGTTTCTTACACATTTATATATAATCTCCTAAGGCAAGTATATTTTCAACTATGCTAAACCCATAGATGCAAATGTTTGGTGAAGGGGTTAATATTTGTCAGATCACATAACTGAATTTGATTAATATCAAAAAGTTAAGCTTGGTTAGTATTTGGATGGAAAATCACCAGGAAATCTAGATCAGTGGTTCTCAACCTTTTTAATGCCGCGACCCCAACCGGTCATAAGTCGAGGACTAAACCGGTCATAAGTCGAGGACTAAACCGGTCGTAAGTCGAGGACTACCCAACCGGTCGTAAGTCAAGGACTTTCCCTGCCCGGGAGCGCCGCGCATGTGTGGTTCCGCCCACTGCGCTGGCCGAGGCGTAGCTGGCAAGCGGAGGAGACGGAGCAGGCCGACCACCAGCTGGCCCAGCCCAAGGGAGGTAAGGCACCCGCCGGAAAAGGGGGGAAAAAATAGCAGACAAAAAAAATGGCGGACAAAAAAATGGCGGACAGCCTTGCTTGGCGACCCCCGTGAAATGGTCAATCGACCCCAAATGGGGTCCCGACCCACAGGTTGAGAACCACTGATCTAGATTCTAGGCCACAGGTGTCAAACTCACTGTGTCACATGACGTGTCACGACGTATCACGACTTTTTTCGGATTGCCGGAGTTGGGGTGGGCGCGGCCTCCGCATGATGCAACTGGCCCACAGGCTGGTAGTTTGACACCCCTGTTCTAGGCTATGGGTTAGAATGACAAATTCAAAAAAAATGCTGGAAGAAAGCAATGCAAGCAATTTCCATATTGTTACCAAGAAAACTACATGAAAGCTTGATTTTATTTGAAAGATAGGATAAAAATCTCCCCAGATTCTTTCAAAATCTCTCTTTAAAAAAAGGAGGAAAGTACTTTACAGATAGTTGCAAGGAAAGTTTCTGCCAGAGCAATTGTTTTTCTCAGAATTAATTCACCCTCCCATTCCAGATGCTTATGCTAGCACAGAATAAATCAGAAGAGCAGCAGCACACGGGGTATTTGGTATGTAATATGCAGATCCTTTCAGTATAGAGACATCTATTTATATAAATAAAAATGTAAATGTTCGTTTGTTCAAAATCTTAAATCTCCGAAAGTTCTTCACCGATTGCTTTGAAATTTTGACACAACGTTGCATTCAAATACACGTGTGTTTTTATATACCTACTATTATATAGATGTCACACCTGTGACAGGTAAAAACATGCTTTTTTTGAAAAACAGCGCCAGAAATGGAAGAACAAAAAATATTGTATACCCACAAGCATTGTGAAATTAAACATATTACAAACGTGCGCTTTCTCTTTTCTTTCTTTTCCATTTAACCAGACTGAGCCACAGCAACGCGTGGCCGGGTACAGCTAGTACATACTAATATATTGTGAGGGATTTGATTGATTAAGGAGGCTTTGGTCTCCCTTTCTTGCCACTTGCTTTGCAAAATTTCATCACTACCACCAATCTGCCCACAATGAACTGAAAAATAAATTCTATGGATACCAAATGCTTCATAACTAATGGTTTTCCTTACTGCTTTTTTCTTAGAGCATGCAGTTCTGCCTGCTATCATCTGATCCCTTTATTAACCAATGGAGAAATATTTGGAATGGAAACTGAGATAAGCCTTCATTTGTTTGACAGAAGTAGTTTCAAAGAAATTCTTCACGGTATTGTCATGGAGACCCAAGATTTAGCATCCCCAGTCCTTCGTAGTGTCACCTTGCATACTGAACTGGAGGAGATTTTCCTTGATGCTGATATCATCATTTTGTTTGACGACATCCTACAGGAAACAATCCCAACACTCGAACACTGTATCCACCAAGTGACTAATCAATGTAAAACATATGGCCCTTTGATAGAGCAGAATGCCAAAAGCAATGTCAAAATTATTGTGATGGGAAAAACTTTTACCAACCTTAAGTCATTAATGCTTATGACATATGCACCCTCTATAAATCCTAGAAATATTATCACTCTTGCCATGCTGTTGGAAAGTGAAGCCAAGGCTATGGTAGCAAGAAAAATGCAAATGCACCCAGCAGGTATGTTATAGATTGATGCTTAATCACTGAATTAGTTTGGACTATTTTTGTCTCATGTTTAAAACTATAACAAAGACAAACTATAAATGAAAATTAAAGCATGTATGTAAAAGTCCAGAAAGATGACCTTAAAGAAAGAATCTAGAGGCCATTAGGTAAACACTAGGGCAAAAGAAACATGTTAAATCCGGAGAGCCAGAAGAATGTTATGAAGAGACCTAGACTATTCCCACCTAGTCCTCTCCTGCTGACTCCCTGGGTATAAGAGGGAGAAAAGGGAACTTGGGAAGACTTGCAGTATTAATGTTGGCCTTCTTAGATAGACAGATCAGGAAAGAGTTTCCATAAGAAGACTAGAGTCATACTTTATTGAGATAGCCTACAACAGGGGTGTCAAACTCGCAACGTCATGTGACGTGTTGCGATGTATTGCGACTTTTTTGCCATTGCCAGCAATGGGGTGGGCGCGGTTTCGCTATGATGCATCCGGCCCGCAGGTCGGCAGTTTGACACCCCTGGTCTACAATAACAAAATCTTGCAAATCAGTCCATGTCTCTTCCTCTTACACACTAGAGAGATGGGAAAGAGTCTGAGTCTTTTTGTAAAATAGCTCTCTGCATATTCCCAGGAAAATTGAAGTCAGGGCCATGGGAATGAAGTGCAGATGTGTTGTTCCCCTCCCAGGCCATCCTCTATTCTCTCTAAAGGCATATGGAAGGATCCTAATTCATGAGGTGATAAATGGATTCTAGATAGTAATAGTATGATTTCACAAGGCTATAAATTTTGAGGGATTGGATATACACAGAAGGCAAGTTGTTCAATATTGTGCATGAATGTAAAGGAATTTTGGTGCTTTAGGGAAGAGAATGTGAAGGATTCAGATAAAGCCCACACAAATGATAGTTATTATCTATGCTGGTGGCCGTGTTGACTACATGGCACCTTCAAATTAGAAGAACTGCATGCTGGGGAACAGTTACAGGGACCATTATTGACTGCATATGGGTTTGAGACATTTTAGTGCCAATTAGGGTGCTGAAATAGGTTAATCTTTCATCTTGTTAGTCTGTTCTTTCAATTTTCCATTGTTGTCTTCAACAGGAATAAAAAACCTCATTGTCTGGGGGAACATCAGTGGCAATAGCTTCGTTGATCTGAGTAAAACAGAGCTATATAGATATGATAGTGCCATCTGGGGCCCACCAAGTTTTTTTCGTCCTTTGTTGGATGTGCTATTTGATCGGTATTCTTTCTGATATTTTTAAAATTGATATTATGTAGTTCTTGAAACATTATAGAAACATGGACAGTTGACAGACTGACGTTAAAGTGTTAAGATTGCTGTCTACTTAAATTTAAAATTGCTTTGTAACATCAATAGTTTTGTTTATGTTCAACACCCAAAATGATTAGCGGTAAAAGTATGTAAATCTTTTTTGATATTAGGCATCTTCCTATAGCTTTACTTCTACCAACAGAGTTCTAGAACTCTGGTACAGATTAAAATTTCTACAATATATTTCTAACCCTGTATGTAATGCTGTATTATTAAAGAATATCATTACCTAAAGCTTGGTATTTTCCTTTAAAATAATTAATGTTATCATATTAAAAAGTAAATAAATGGGCTGCTCTGGCAATTAACAGCTTTACAGCATACAGGATAACAGAGTTGGAAGGGACCTTGGAGGTCATCTAGTCCAACCCTCTGCTCAGGCAGGAAACCCTATACCATTTCAGGCAAATGGTTGTCCAGCTTTAATCTAATGCTCTTTTAAAGTTCTACTTCATGGATTTTAAGACACATTTTGCTATCAAAATTGTTTCTGGATATTGTTTCCTGAATTTTCTGTTACAAATATCTGTATTGGGCAAATCTAAATAGCTTAGAAATATAATAAAACACATGGCAATAGTTTGTAAAGTCATAATATTTAGTTTAGTTAACTCCATAGTACCATAATTACTGTGTCTCTGATACCAAAATGACTGCCTGAATAATGATGTTTTAACAACTTTCTAAATATAATAATAAGGTACATTTTTATTTTTAAGGATAACTGGTTTTACAGGAGGAGAGCTCCAGCACAGAAGCTTGTCTCCAGGACCCCCTCCTGCTAATTTAATTTCTTTGATTGACATTCATCTTGTCAGAGGACATTTTACATTTGTTTTCTGTATTATGTTTTTTAAAAGCTGTAATTTCTTGTTAACAGTGAATGGATGGAAATTGAATTTGTGGCTTCATTGAGTTCATTAAGTTCTTGGAGAGCTCGTGATTTAGGAATGGCACCTGCACATACAGTTGCTACTGTGCTGAGATACTGGTACCAAGGATCCCCTCCTGGAGAAATGATCTCTTTGGGAGTAATTAGCGAAGGTAAATGTTCTGAAAAGCTTTTCTGTCCCACTTACTTTGGTGTTACTAAAGCCTTTTCCACCAAAGCTGAATATTTTCAGTATGGGATGCCTGTAGGGGGATCAAAAAAGTCAAGATGGCAGATGTGACTGTGTTTTTAAAGCCCTGCACCTGTAAAATGCAGAGCCCTTTTAGCTAAGGGATCAGGATGCAGGGGCTGCAGAGGTGCCGTCAATCCCTCCTCTTGGATGAGACTGATAATTAATGTTATGAGGGTGATGATTTTGTGCCTTCGAGTCAGTTTTGACTCCTGGAAACTTCCTAGTCTAGTTCCTGCAGTTTTCTTACCATGTTTTCAGAAGTGATTTGCCATTGCCTGCTTCCTTAGGGCTAAGCATCAGGGAAATCCAGCTGGCTTTGTGTCCAAAACAGGACTAGGACTCATAGCCTCTGCAACACTAAACTGGTTTTATCCTGTGATTTTACAGGATCTACTTTAAACATGAGCCAATTCTTTGAATCTCAGTTTAGAAATCTAACTGAAATAGGAACATTAGTTGTAATCGTCATTAATGTTTCTGTCTTTGTCCATTGTTTATTTTATTTTAGATAGAAGTAGACATGTGCATGAAGTGTGCATCTACTCTTCTTTGTTATAATAGGGCAACTGCTTCTCAGATATTGTATTTTTGGATATCTAAGAGTTGTTCTATGGATCTGCATATAGGTTTGGCATCAAATTAATCTGGCCGTCTGGCCTACATGCATATTTCATATTTGTTCATTTATGTATAACTTATATATATTTATTATAACGCTCAGTCTCTTCCCAACATTTATAATCAATCCCTATTTTAGGGGATTATTGTGTGCGATCCTCAAGCAAAATGAGAACTTAAAGTAATTTAAGAGGTTTTTTTAATGAACAACTTGGTATAATCAGAAATAATAATAATTGACAATTATTATTAACAATAATAATGGTGCTCTTTTGGTTTTTCTGATTCTGTAGATGGATTTCTAAGAAATCATGCATCAGTTAAGATTAATACAAAGTTTTATTTACCAAATTAATAACTTCTCTTTAGATCTGTAAAATATTATAATATCTTCTAGATTATACCTTTACTAGTGGCCATGTCTAGAAAATATAGTTTAAACCTAGATCAGTGGTGGCGAACCTATGGCACGGGTGCCAAAGGTGGCATTCAGAGCCCTCTCTGTGGGCACGCGCATCGTCGCCCCAGTCCTAGGCCTTCAGCTGGGTTTTATAAAACCTTTTCTCTTTAGGCCTCTGCCACCATGTGCAAAAAAAAAAAAGGTTCAATCAGTCAATTTCAACTTCTCGCGGGGAAAAAAAGTTCTTGCAAAGTTGGAATTGATTGAACTTTTTAGTCCCACCCAGTCTGCCATTACCACCGCAGCCACGCCCACCCAATTGGCCACACCCAGCCAATGGGCCACACCCACCCGGCACTCGATGATGCATAAGTGGGTTTTGTGTTGCAGTTTGGGCACTCAGTCTCTAAAAGGTTCACCATCACTGACCTAGATTATAGTGATAAGAACAATTCTCTTCTACTCTCTCCATCATAACAATGGGAGTAATTCCTAGACCAGAGAGGAGTATTTATTGCTAAAAGTCAGTTCTAGTCATTCTGTTTTATTTTTTTAGAATTAGAATGGAGGGATGTGCATCATATTCTTGTGATGCTCAAATGGCATAGAAAAAATATCTGCGTATTATGGATTTATTATTTGTGTGTTTTATATTTTTGAAGTCAATTATTTCTGTTCCTTAGGTCAATTTGGACTTCCTGAGGGGATTGTCTATTCAATGCCCATAAGGTTTGAGAATGGCAGCTGGGAGATCTATACAGAAATAGAAATTAATGAAAAAACTCAATCGTATCTTCTGATCCTGGCCTGTGATCTCATTCGGGTAAAATCATATTGTTTATGTATATATTCATTTTTTCATATTCATATTTTCCATATCAAATTATTCATATAATTTGTCCTTTTAGTTTGGATAATCTAGAAAGTTTTCATCAAGATATTATAGCTGTTCCACAAAGTGAGCCTTGTCCAGTTCTTTTTTATCATTGAAATTGAAATTTAAACATTAAACTTAATTTGAAAATTATTATATTAAAATTATTTTCTTGATGGTTTGTTAGCTGTTTATTTTGGACAATGGAAAAAATATGTACATAATAGAACATGATGCATGAAATAATTGACAAGATTTTATAAATTTATTGATAATGTGAATTCAAAAAGACACGCTGAAGGTTTTTAAATCATCTGTGGGCAATGGCAACAAGTGGTATATCTGATAAAATATTTTTATGAACATAAAAATTAGCAAAAATTATTATAAAAATAAAATTACATTATTCTGTGGAAATTATAATTTCCCTTAAAATCAAATCCACTTATGAGATTAACAGATTAATTGTTTAGGAGTAACACTTTATTGTTATGGAGACACTCAAGTAGCTGTATTAATGAAAAGTCTTTATTAATTGAAAGTCTTCTTATGAGTGTTGTTATAAATCACCTCCAATTGATACAGTTTTTTTCTATTCAGGAAAAACAAGTTGCCTTAGGTGAAGTA